CTGGCGATTTACAAAGAAGAGGGGGCTTTCCAAGGGCGCAAAAATCGCCACATCTGGGAGAAATTATGGAGCACCGAACTTCGGAGCACCAACAATAAATAGGACCAACAGTTGTGGCACAAATATGCCATATTTGCACACACGACGTCGTTAATTATTCTAGGCTATATCCACTCAGTAACCACCCCCTTTGTCTAAGAATAAAGCTGGTATAATCATCATGGAGCCTCGATGTTCCACCAGCCCATGCATCCTCTGTCCCGGATCCAACTCCTGACGAACAGCCTGTAGAAGATAGCGTGCAGTTAATGCTCATTGCGGACGCGGCTATGGGCTTGACTACTGGTTCTCTCGTATCCGCACCTTCACCACTTTTCGAAAGGGATCCCATAAAGCTGTCTGATTTGGAAGGACTTCAACGGGCTATGCCGTTCAACGCACAGTCCGTACCCATGGGAGCAACACTCCATGAGGCTTCGGCATGCACACAGTTAAAGCCAAGTATTATGTTAGCTCCGCTGATGTCGGGGGTTGGATCAACTGAGTCGCTCATACTCGAATCTTCAATTGCATCGATGCCAATCAAACCTTCGACAAACGCAACGGGACCAACCAACTATCAACTAAAGCCACCTCCTGAGGAAGAATATTCGAGTGAAGTTGATGCAGAAGCTGCTATTTATGCTTGGACTGCACAACATGGCTACAACGTGGCTAAGAAGGAACTAGAGAGAAACAAAAATGGAGACGTGATATACAGACTATTTGCGTGTGATCAATGGGGTAAACCCAAGAACACTCGACGTCTGCGAGGTTAAGATTGTGTACGCACAAATCGACGGTCCTGTCGGTTCGGGTGTCCTATGCGCATCAAAATTGTAGCTGTTGATGGCATGAATTCAACAGGACCGTGGAAAAGCATGTACACTCGAGATGGCAGTCACATTCATAACCACCATTTTCAAACGTTGTGAAAATTGTGACCTCTTACGCACTAAATGAAACGTATCAGTTGTGGAAAGTGGCTATTAAACATGTCCACGAGTTGATCAAAGACCCAACGAAGGGGAATACAACACAGCAATGTAGTGAGAAATTCCGCCGCTGTTACGGAAGACCCTGCGTACATGAAATGATTCGGGTGTACCAGGCTGAGTGTACTAAACTTCTTCAGCCTAGTGGTTTTGACCGGCATTGGTGGGTTCGAGACCGCGGGAACGAGCGAGTTGGTGAAGTTTTGGAACCAGTTTTACGGGCGACAAAACGAAGTGCAATCTCGAAAAGAGCTTCGCACCAAGCAGGGGAGGATGCCAACAGCACGCGACGAGAGCTTTCCCACTTTGAATTGGATGCTGAGACGAGTTTCACAGATATCTGGACTGGATGCGTATCTGCCTCCTCGTATATGGGGCTTG